ACGGGCTAATTGGTCAGTAGATACACTTTTTTTAAGAATACTTTTTGATTTTTAAAAAATTTTGTATATAGTACCCTGATGATGAAATATCGGTTTAAATAAAATTTTAAAAAACCAAAAACAATTTTTTGAGGAGTTTATAGCATTATGTTAAATACTTTTTAATCAAATAAATATATATTTTAATAAAAAATTATTGTTTTTTATTATTATTATTATTATAATTCGAAATAAATAATTATTAGTTTTTACTATCTTTTTTTCAGATGTTTAAATAAATATTTTATAACAAAAATTCCAACATCTTCAATGCAAAAAATAAATGTTTCAAACGAATCAATTTTATTTAATATTTAATATTACTGAAAATCATATAAAATTAATAATAATTTAATTTAATTCATTTTAAATTATTAAAAAATTTTTATTTTTTTATAATGAAATATAATTTTTTAATTTAATTATTTTTAATTACTTTTTTTTGTGATGTAAATTTATAAATTTTTTAATAATAATAGTATTAAATAAAAAAAATTTTGAAATAGTACAGTACATGCAAATATTTATTAATATGTATTTATTACACATTTTTTTTAAAGTATATACAAATTACACAAACATATTATACAAACATATATATAAGTGATGTAAAATTAAAGTTTTATAATTAATTAAATTTAATCAATATATTCAAATTCAAAAATTTGTTCGGAATGATCTGTATATATAATATTTAATCGTTAAATATTTTTCAATAAAATAGTTATATATTTCGATTTTAAAAATATTGGTTTTTATTATTACTTCATGTTTTTTTTTTAAGATATAGATATGGATATATTTTTTTGAATAAATATTTTATAAAAAACAAAAATATAATGTCATCAACGTAATAATTAATAATAATAAGTAATTTGAAATAAATAAATTTTTTATTATTTATTCGATAAATATTTCTCATTAAAACAATAATTTATTACGAAACAAGTCATTATTTTTTATTATTGATTTATTTTTTGTTGTTTTTGAATTTAATATATTTCATAGTTTTCTTTCATTTCTCTTACAAATTACATTGGAACATTTTGTTTTTATTTTATATTTTAAATATAATTAACTATAAATATATATATTATGCTATAAGTCGTGATTTATATTTTTACTCTCTTTGACTTCTTAACTTAAAATTAAATTTATTTTAAATATAATTGTAGTTTTTATTTTTTATTAGTTTTATTTTTTGTTTTTTAATTTTTTAGATTTATTTTTCTTCTCATCTTTTTTCTTTGGATTACTTTTCTTGTCCTTACCACTATCCTTTGAGCGTTTCACTCGTTTTGATTTCAGAGAAACGATTTCAGATTCATTTTCGGAGTCACTAATCTGACATGATTTAAGTGACTGTGAATCTTTCTTATCTTTTTTCATCTCCATTTTTTGTTTATTTTTCTTATTTGATTTCTGTTTCGACATTGCACTTTCGTTTTTTTCTTCAGAACTGCTTTCATTGTTAAGCTCAAAAGTATTTTTTTCCTCGAGCTCATCCATCTCATTTGAATCTTTAGAAAGTTGTTTAGTATTATTTTTCATCTTTAGTTTTTTCTCTTTTTTACTCATTTTATTTTTGTTTAATTTTTGATCATTTAATACTTCTTCATTCCTTTTATTTTTTTCATCATTCGAATCGTTTTCTACCTCATTTTCTACTTCATTTTCTTCACTTTGTTTTATGTTTTTTGCTTTATCATAATTTTTCTGCTTCTTCATTTCTTTTTTTACTTCTTGTTTCGTTGTTTCTTGCAATTTCTGTTTTTCTGCTTTCATTACCTTCTCTTCTTTTTGCTTCAAGTTTTCGTTAGCTGCTGCTCTTTGCTGGCTTTCATTTGTTTCAGTTTTTCTATTTTTCTTGGATTTATTGGAACCATCTAATTTGTTATTTTCTCCTTCACAGTTTTGTTCTTTTTCCTTTTCTTCTGTATTCTTTTGTTTCTTTGAATTCTTTTTTTCTTCACTTGAACTGACGGATTCTATTTTTTTATTTTTTTTGTTTTTTCGGTCTTTGTTTGTGGAATCTATATTTTCTTCATTCTTCACTTCATTATTGTTTGCAAGCTCATCAGTATTAACAACTGGTTCTTCAGATTCTTCTGAAGAAACCTCTTCACTACTTTTAACATTTAATTTATCTTTCGTTTTATTCTTTTTCTTCAGTTTTTTAAGTTTTTTTTTATCACTTGAAATAGCTTCCGTTGATACATCAACATTCTTTTTCTCTTCCAAATCTTTCTCTTGTGATTCCAGTGAGTCTTGGCTTGATTTTATGCTCTCATCTGATTGGCTTTGACTTTCATTATATATATTTATATTCTCTTGGTTCAATTTCTCGTCTTCCTTTAACTTATTTTGTTGTCTTTTAGAGTCTTTCCTAGATAGTATTTTAGGTTCCTTCGACTTTTTGGTTTTTTTAGGGGTTTTGTGCTTCTCACGTTTTTCATCACTAATATCGTTTGATGTTTGTTTAGATTGATTTGCATCACTTTCTTCGGATTCATTTGTAAGTTTTTTGGAGTCATTTTCTGTATTTGGTCTTGTTTCCTTATTCTCAGAATCTTCAATTGAGTCTAATAAATCTACTGAATCTAAATGCTTATTCTTTTTATTTTTTTTAATTTTTTTTGTCTTTTTCAAGACATCATTTTCATTGGATTTAGTAAGATTATCTGTTTCTTCTGAAGAATCTTTCTTATTTTGTTTGGATTTTGTTTTTTTATTATCCTTAGCCTTAGCTACTTTTGATTTTGACTTATCCTGCTCTTCTTCAGTAACCACACCATCTTTTTCGTTTACTGTTTCTGCATCCTGAGAAGATAAACTTAAATCTTCTTTCCTTTTCTGAGTAGTGTCCACATGTTCGCTGTCCTCTACATTTTTATTCAATCCACCTTCTTCTTTCAACTCTTTGATTGATTGATCTATAATTAAAGAATTAAAAATAAAATAATTTTACTAAAAGTCATCGAATATGTTCCACTTACCGGCTCTACTGACGTGTACAAAAATACAGAGAAACGCGACTATAACTATTAGGCACCTCATTTTTTGCACTTTTTAATAACAACTAGAATACTTAACTGATTTTAAAGTAAATTCTGAAAGTATTTATAAACATTTCTCGTCAAAAAAGTGTTTTCTTTATCAAACAGCCATGTTTAGTTTTCTTAATACCATTTCAAGATTACATTCACTCACTTCACTTGGGCTTTGAAAAGGTGTGCAAATTTTTTGATGACTACCTCTTAAGTTGTAGACTTTCTATCAATTGTATTTATTAACTATTATATATTGTTATTAGTTATAGCTTTGTATACGTGACGTCACAATCAATACTGATAACACTTATCTTTCGTATGACTATTTGAAATTAAATAAATTGCGCTGAACTCTGAAATTCTTGACGCTACTTTTGTCAAAATAACGAAATCAGTATCCAAACTGATAAGAATAAAAACAAAATATTGTAGTTAAGAAATTTGTTATGGTAAATCTTCAACTAGTACCAAAAACAAAAAAGATCATATATAAATAAAATATGTTTATAAATATTTTTAAATAATAACAATAAAAGAACTAAAGAAAGAGTAGTAGAAGATAATGGTTTCTATCGTCTATAATTAGAATAGACCTCACAAAAATGATGAGCTTATGGTGCAATATAGCAATGCCTTTCTCCTGACATTTAGCGAAGTACCCTAAAAGACGGATTCGCTGCTTTTCATGGAACTAAAATTATAGAAACCAAGTCTCTGGTATATCTGGGTGTACTTATATACACAAGAGCCTCTTCGTGATATCGGGATGCCAAGGTAAGAACAGTTATGAGTAGTTATACGATTTCTTTTTAAAAAGAACACTTGTCTCACAAAAACGAGTTTCTTATTTTATGATTTTAGAAAATCACCTGAACATATATTATTTTAAACATTGACATACTGCATATGACATAATTTAAATTATATTTTTTTAATTAATTTTAATTATATTTATATTTACAAGTTTATGTATCCAAATATCAGTAACGATTGATGGTGTCAACATGAAAGAATTATAGTAAAGGTACTACTTGATTAATACTCACATATTATATATATGTAATTTACATTTCCTTAAAAAGACTTTATAATATTAACAGTCCTTACTTTAACTGACATCACTTTTATTCCGGCTAGAAACTTAGAAGGGTTCGAATAGAAAAGAAAAGACAAGTACAAAAATTTTATTAATTTATTAAAATTTGGCGGACCATACAAGTCAGTATGGTCGAGTACTGTCAAGTACTCATTATTAGTGGTCTCAGGAAATTTGTTTGGACCTGGTTTAGAAGTCGTGCCCGTCAAATTAGAAGCCATGACTAATCGTGTTTTCACTAACCAAAGCACTTGATGTGCTTTAAATTAGAACGAGCTTATAAAGTACAGCTTTATTGGAAACAGAATTTCAACGAATTAAAAGTTAATTTTTGAGGTTGCCTATTCTTATCTCAAAGCTATTCGTTTCTCTGAGACATCTGTTATACATATTTTTACTTACTATATGTAAAGCCCCTTGTAGTTGTCATTTTATAAAGAAGCTATGCAAATGTTAATCTCCAATTTCGCTAATCACGGTTGTTTATCTCTGAATGGTATCACTACAGCCGTAGGAGCCTATGCATAAAGAATGGATGCCAACCAGGTCATTTTAACTAAACAGAATAAGGACAGCTATGAATAGTAATTCGATTTTTTTTAAAGGATCATATACCGCACCCTAACCAGTGAGTTTTATTTTGTATAAATTTTTTTGCTGAAAGCTATATATTTTAACTGCAAGTTTATCTTCGTATAAATAGCAACACTTTAGTTATAATATATCAACCATGTCTTTGAATGGTATCACTACAGCCGTAGGAGCCTATGCATAACGAATGGATGCCAACCAGGTCATTTTAACTAAACAGAATAAGGACAGCTATAAATTGTAATTCGATTTTTTTTAAAGGATCATATACCGCACCCTAACCAGTAAGTTTTATTTTGTAATTTCAAAGAACTAGCGAAGCATATATTATTTTGAAAGTACAGTAACTGTATACGACGAATATTTTAAACTATGTTATATACTTCTACATATTTACTTACCTAAATAGCACTACCCATTGTTGCTGTCAAATTAAATCGACCACAAGGTAAGTGGAATTTAACTGTTAATCAGATACTATTTATGTAATATAGATTTATTTTAAAATCCTTCTAATATTAACAAGTTCAATTTCAAGCCAAACCGCGACATCTTATGGTTAACTTTTAATCCGGCTACACACTCCTTAATAATATAATCTTCTTTTACGTTATGAAAGGAATGAAACTCATTCCCTATCTGCAAGATAATCATCATATAAATAGTAACACTTCACCTACAATTTTTAATTATTATCCCGTGACAGAAAACTAATTGCAGACTTTCATAAATAAAACGAATCTCCTCCACTTATCTTAACCGAGTATTTGTCAAAACGCGGCAAAAGCACAAACTTGGTCTTAATTACAATTAAGCAATGTCAACCTGCGACGTAAATTGCTTGTAATAATTCTGCACTTATGGGACTTTTAAATAAATGCACATTAATTTAGAAAAGTGTTTTCTTTTTATTTAATTTGTGCACTTAATTGCAGCAACTTAGCAGACTGGCAATGACAAAGGTGTTGGTCACGGTATGATTAAATAAAAAAATTTTAATTAAAAACCACAGCAAAGTGCCGTACATCTGCAAGATACAAACACTATAAAATTTATCTTGAATTAAAGAAAAAATATATAAAGAAACTACAAACAACGCAGTGGAAATAATAATAAAGGTAACTGCATAAAAGCTGAGTTGAACGTTAAAAAGCTTAACAAGTTAGTGAGGATAATTTAAATCTCTTTCAATTGGCAATCCTATTCAACTGACGATCCTGTCCAGTTGACTTATGCTCCTTCTTCTTACCTTTCTTATTATTATTATAAACTGCAATCAATTTGAAATATTTGCCTGTTTGCAGGTAGCCAATGCAATTTATTCTACACTTCAAAAGTGTTGCATACTTTTTGGCTTCATTTGAATTGTAAATTAGTTTCCTATTTATATTTGTTTATATTTATATTTGTAGTATAAAATGCAAAAATAATTTAAACAAATTAATTAAATCTATTTTTAACAACTTAGTTGTGGCAGTAGACTAACAGCTGTCAGTTAATTACATTTCTTTATACTCGGAAGCATAAAAATAAGATTTTCAAATAAATTAAAAATACTCACAATTGAAGTGGAAGTGTGCAGAACTCATTGACTTAACTACGCTAGATTGTCACTGATTCTAGAGTTAAAATATAATTTTTTTGCACCACTGCACGACATTAACAACGCATTCATCATTCATCATTAACGTTTCGCGGTTAAATGTACTCGCATTTTTTGCTGGCAAGCCACAAACAGTGGAATTTTCTGGAAAAAAAATGGAATTGAATTTTTTTTTTGTAATAAAAATAACATTTTCATTTTCGCGAACGTCATGTTCGAGAAAAAAACTTTTACATTAAATGTGTGAAGAAAAAACTTTCAAGAACCCAAGAAAAACAAATCTTTTGTTAGATTTTAAATTCCTTGCCATTTTTTCGTCCTCGTCCTCCGCCTCCGCCTCCTCTGCTACTAGGTTGCCAATGCAAGTTCTACTGAATTCTAATGCTCAACTTTCAGATACTTCCCATTAGCGTAAGTGACTGTTTGCTGTGGCGGCTGCTAGGTAAATTGGCTTTCACTTTTGTGATTTAGTTAATTTGATTTCATTTCATTACAATTGAGTTGTAAATTTTTCATTTGTCATCACCTGCACACTTTATATATTGAAAATTTTGCTTTCTCATTTCATTTTAATTTTATTTTTTTATTCTCGTTATTCTGTTACTCTTTTATTGAGTGATAAATTAATTTGTTGAAAAAGTTAAAAACTTTTTAAAAAATTTTAAATACTTTATTATTGTGCAAATTGGGAATGTCAGTATTTCTTTAGTTGAAGCAGGAAGAAATTAAATAATAATAATTCGCTTTTATATAAATGAATGAGACAGTAAGATCAAAATGTAAATCGATTTAAAAAGTCATTCAAGAGGGCCAGTAACAATAATTATAACGAGGAAATAACGTTTCAAAACACTTATTAGCGAAAAGTCCAAACACAAATCTAAAAACAAATGGAGTCAGCTAGGTTAAAAACAGCCTAGCTGTGAGAGAACTTACTAATGAGAAGTTACTTAAGTAATTCAAATCTTAATAAGGATTTAAACGATTATTCCATCTGTTTGAGTTGCATTTAGTTTTAATACTAACCCGTATAATCAATACATAATTATAATCTGTTTAGTGAGCTTCAAAGAGGGCAATAAAATCAAGTGTAAGCTGACTGAGATATGGATTTCAACTTCTTCAATGAATTTTTGCAATTAACCCTTTTAGAGTCAGAAATAGAAAAAAAGATACGGAGCATTATGGAGCATTAATTTTTTTACAGAGACTCTTCCATTTTTCTGCTATCGCTGAAGACTCAAAAGTATAACTTCCACAACAGCTGATATACGGACAATGAATGACAGATCGCACTAAAATCTTGCCTTATAATACAACATAGTGGTAAAAAAAATTGTAAGTAAATCTTCAATGCGCTCTATTCAAATTATCACTAAGGGGATTTTGAACCCAAAAACCCTTAAAATATTTGAGATCATTATACACTTGGTATAATGATTTTGTTTTCAATTAATGGTTTTTATATAAACTTTGAATTTGTTTTAAAAACCCCCGCAACACATAATCTGATGATTGTGTCCTCTTTAAATTATAGCGATAATTTTAAAATCCCATTGTTATCGTTACGAATTTATTTGGAAATATCAACTGAACTGTAAAAACAAAACTCAAATGAAAAAATATAAAATCGTCTTCCATTGGGAGAGAAGAGAAGAACTCTGCCTCCGAACGATTGGAACGATTGGGGTTAGCGAACACTAATCGCTTTTTACCGGTTACACGAAGCAGAGGTACTAAGGAGTTTTACGTTAAGTTCAGAGAGCACTAATTGGACTTGATATAAAAAACTGAAGCAGGTATACATGGAGCAGAGAGACCAGTTGTAGAGCGATACGATATGTTGAAAATGGAAATGGATTTTTTTTTAGC